AAGCAAGGTAGGAGATGAAGCCACATCAGGCAGGGAGCAGGGGAGGCAGCCGCCACCTTGGCCCCAGGTACGCTCCAGGGCGACAGCCCTTGGGGAATCGTCAGAGCGGCTCCGCTTTGCTCCTTCTCTGCCAGGCAAAACCTGGCCAGGGCCAAGGCAGCCCTGGGGCCCGCCCGGCTGGGCTCCAGTGCAGGACAGACCCCCAAGCCCCTCTGGGGCAGAAGAGAAATGGAAGAAAAACAGACAGGGAAGGGGATCGTTTCGCCTCCTAGAGGGAGCAAAGCCGCTGGGCTAACTTGCGAAGAGGAGGGGAGCAAAGCCGAAGCCTCTCCTTTTCTAGCTTCTGGTGTTTCACAGCCGCCCCCAGCGGTGCTTCATTCCAAACCTGTTTCAGGGGGCAAAGGGTCAGGAGAAGAGGGTGCTGTGTGGAGCTGGTTTGGTGCTGGGAGCGAGCCTGCTGGTAATGGCCAACTCGGCAGAAAGAATGTCCCAACGTGGCGGCCCAGGCCAGGAGAGGACCACCGGCCCTCAGAAAAAGGCTGCAGATGATGGCTGTTCCCCTGGGATGAGGGACCTGGCTCTTTGGACCGGCGGAAACTCCAGCAACATATGTCGCCCAGCAAGGAAGCACCCTAAGAGCTGTACACCTGCGCAGCCTTGATGACCCCGACAGGAAAATCCCAGGAATCTGACCAAGGTCACCAGGGACACCTGGTCACAAGGTTCGCCTGTTCCTTAAGCCCCCCGTCCTCCTTGCATGTGACAAAGAAGGGGGGGGGTCTGCGAGTCACAGTCCGCAGTCAATGCGTGGATTTATTCTCCATTAGGACTCTGCCCAGCTCCCCCATCAAGTCTGCCGGGGGGGGGAGGGAGGGATGGGGTGCAAATCAGGCCCTGCCTATCCTTGACTGTGACCCGGCTGCAAAGTGAAGCCAGCCTTGAGGTGAACCAATTCCTGGAAAGGAGGAAGCGAGTCCAAGGGGGGAAATTGCACTTACCTCTTCCACGGACACAGGCAGAACTACACGGCTGCAAGAGAAGAGGGGGGGGCGGGGGGAGAGAAAAAAGCAGGCATTGACTAAGGTCCAGCCCGGAGGAGCAGGGAAGCAGAGACGGTAGCAAATCACAGACCCATAGGAGAGACAAGAGGGGCCAGGATGGAGCATCACTTACCCCCTACCATGTCCGCAGCCAGCACAAACCAGGCCCTGTTCTTTCAAGCCAGCTCAGAAACGGGGGGGGGGGAGAGACATGCCACCTGCCTGGTGTCACAAAACGACAGCTTGGCAGGACGAGGGAGGAAGGTGGGAGAGAAAGCCAGGAGGGTTGAGGAGAGAGAGGAAATGAGAGCGAGCCACTTTTTAAAGTTGAGTGGCGTAGAGGAGGAAGCTGCTGGGAAAAGCAGCCACATCCAGGCCTCAGGACCAGACCCTAAAAGGTGTCGTGCAGGCAGAACCACAGGCCCAGCGCGGTCAGCTACATAAACCCCAGCACCCAAATTAAAGACGGCTCCCCTGCTTTCTCAAATATATCACCGCAATGGCCTTGCAGAAGAAGCCAACGCTTACAGACATACCACTATCGTGTTACCAGTGCTTTTGGCAACGCTCTGGATATTTCCCGGGGTGTGAGAGTGGGAAGAGAAAGAGGCAGAAGGCAAAGAGGCAAGAAAAAGGCGACACGCTCCCTACAGGGGTGTCAACGCAACCCTTCCGAAGCCTAGCCCCGGGGAAAGCCAAGGTGTGTCTAGAAGAGGTGCGCTGCGTGTCGGGACCCACCCTTCTCTAGGAACCGGCTGGCGGGCCGGCAAATCCACCCGGAAGTCCCTTTTGCTTTGGCTTCCAAAGCTCTCCTTGCAAAGATCTCACGAAGAGAAACTCGCAAGAGAACGGAAGCAGGCGTTACTTCTGTTCTGGGTGAGGGCTCCGGGCACGGGCACGGCCCACCACCACCGGGAATGGCCGGCGTCCAGCCTGGGCCAAGCTGTGGAAAGGCGGCCCACCTCTGAGGCACCACAAGGGCTATCCTGTGCAAAGGGCGGAAGCTGGATGGAAGGTGGAGGAAGGAGCCAAGCTTGCCCCGCAGGACCCACTGGCCGGCCGGTGCAGGGACTCCCCCACAAAGACCGGCCAAGGAGCCGCTGGTGCTCCTGAAACAGAAGCCGCCGCCTCAGCAGCAGCAGCAGCAGCAGCAGGAGAAATGGAGCCGGGGAGGTCAGTGGCTCTTGGCCCCTTTTTGCCGCTGGTGTCTGGTGGCCCATCCATGACCATGTTTGGAACTCGGCTCAGCAAGCAGAGAGCCTCCTTGCAAGGGCGGCTTCCTCAGCAAAGCTTCCTTAGCAAAGGACCCCCCCCCGCCCCGCTAAGCATAGCCGGGATGGATGGGTGTGTGGGTGGTGGGGTGGTGGGAAAGCGTGAGAGGCCCCCCTCTGCCCCCCAGGCAGGAGCAAGGAAAGGGGTGGGCCGGCCCTGGACGGAGGAC